GGTTGTGTTTTATCGTTTAGTATAATTTCTCAGAGATGAGACATTTTTCCGCATTAAAAAAAGTATCCTATATGTTGACTCGGATGACCAGCTATCATTATACCAAATTTCATCAAAATCTGTCCAGTGGTTTTCTCGTGATGCGGTCACAGATCGACAGACAAATATTTTAAAAAGTATAGATTTCCTAAATTTTTTTATTAAATGTACATCTATTCGACTCAGTTAGAATTTTATTATATGTATAGATCGGGGGGCACGGCAGTGCCCCCGCCAAGTCGAGCAAACAAGTCGAGCAAAAAAGGGCACGGCAGTACCATCCTTTTCTCGAAGGGATTCAGAGCATTTTCCACCCCCCCATAACTTCGTTATGGATAAAGCTAGAAGCTTGAATTTTGAGTGACTAAGAGAACATAATAAAACTAGGTACATTTCCAAATTACATTCAATTTGAACCAGTAGTTTATGAACTGTTGCAGATCAAAATTCGTTAATATCGTCACTCACACACTCACTCACTCACTCACCGATCATCAAAATTCTAAGGTACTTCTAGCAGACATAGAAGCTTCAAATTTTGAACACAATTCGTGTTTACTCTATAACCCAAGGAAAAATTCAAACATCACGCAATTTCAATCCTGTTTTCGAGATATACAACAAACTGCATCAGTAACTTTGTAATCCTATACAAATAGATATGCGATATATGGGATTACAAAGTTACTTGTGCAGTTCATACATATAATTGTCGTCACTTGCAATGTAAAAGGAGGTTAGGTTAGTGTTTAACCTGTATGTATTTGTATATATGTATGTTTGTTGTTGTATTTGTTTGTATGTTCGATCCTATGTTCCCTCGTAATTACTAACCTAATCACGATTCGTCTATTTATTTATTAATGTTGATATTGCAACTATTGTATACATTAGAAAAATATTATTCAAATGTGAAAATATTATTTCAAGCGTTTTCAGTAACTGTATACATTTTTATGCATATACAAATGGGTACATAAATACAACGTGAAGCGTGTATAGTGTATTACCAACTAATATTCGATTACCTGTTATTTATAATGAATTTATTAAAATATATACCTAATTACGACAAAACTTGACGATTACTTAATTTTTGACGACACGTTTGGCTCAGTTTGTAGTGGCCCGGCCGGTCGCGGGTTCGAGTCCCGCTGGGGGCATTCATTTGTGTGATGACTAAAGTTTGTACTCCAGTCATGGGTGTTTATATGTATGTATTTAAAGTTATATATGTGTAGTGTATTAACTATCTAGTATCCATAACACAAGCCTCGTAGCTTACCATGGAACTAGATGGTTCTGTGTGTTACTGCCCCAACATATTTTGAATCAAAGCTCGTATATTTTCTTTTATAAAGTATGATGTTGATTTGAATTAGAAAACTTGTTAACATTTCATTGCTCGTAACTGTACACATCTAATAGAACATGGAATATAGAGGTCATTAAATATCAATCTCTTCGAAAATTACTTTTAAAATGGCCAATGGAATCAGTGAATGAAGTGAGTTGGCAACCTCACTTTTCTATTAAACTGCATCAAAATTGACTGAACAAGCAATAATAATTAAGTATAACAACCTTCGGGATTTACCTACGATGCCGCAGATAGACACATAAATCTACACGTTTTATTAAACTTACGTAAGTTCAATATCAGTATCGGGGTAGGTATTTAGGGTCAACAATGAAATTAAAATATTCATTAAATTAACTATATGTATATTTATACTTAATGCATAAGATAGTAGTAATGAAACCCAGGAATCCGCAATTTCCGAATACAATAGACTTAGATTTTTTATCATCCAGACTTGTCAAAATTTGTTATATCAAAGCCTCTGAAAAAAGCCCACAGTGACAGAGAGTGGGCTTTTAAGAAGTCCTTAGCTGACACACAAGAAATAGTACAAGAAAAGGGCAAAAGAAGAAATATTTACAAAAAGAAATGAGATCCCATCAAAAACATACTGTAAAAATATTGCAAGTCTCGCAACGCATCTCTCTACCGCAAAAAGCTATGAGATATAATGTAAAACCAAGTCGGTTAATTTATTCATTACCTATCTATGGAAGCATCTATCCGACAACTTTGTCATAAATCGTTACCGAATTAGTTAAGTTACAACATTTTATAGTGACCGTATTAATATTAGATATATTTATTTCTTTAATTAATAGAATGACTTGGCCATCGCACATGATAACAGAACCTACCAATAACAAAATTTACCTAATATTAACGTTCTGAGTGCATTATTTATGTATTGTTTGTGTATACATCAATTTGACCCGCTAGTACTATGTTCCGTTCATTTTAGCCCAAACACGTCCACAGCTGGGCATAGGCCTCCCCCAAAAATTTCCACGACAACCAGTCTTGTGCCATCCGCATCCAGTGGGCTCCAGCGACTTTGACCAAGTCGTCAGTCCACCTTGGTCATGGTATTTTTAATTAGGACTATTTAAAGTAGTAGACTCTTATGTGATTATGTTTCCGTGCGATGGCCAAGTCATTCTATTAATTAAAGAAATAAATATATCTAATATTAGTACGGTCACTATAAAATGTTGTGACTTAACTAATTCGGTAACGATTTATGACAAAGTTGTCGGATAGATGCTTCCATAGATAGGTAATGAATAAATTAACCGACTTGGTTTTACATTATATCTCATAGCTTTTTGCGGTAGAGAGATGCGTTGCGAGACTTGCAATATTTTTACAGTATGTTTTTGATGGGATTTACCTTTTCTTCTATGTATTTTAAACGTCTCAGTTGGAGCATAGGTAATAATTTACTTCACTAATATCATGTAGGTAGAACAGTGTAATATACATATCAGTGAAATTATTTGTGGAGGAAATGAATATCACTTATATTAATTCCATTTATAACTAGGGCATTTAAATAATTGTTCAAATGCATTGCTTAATCAAAATTTAGTTAGTTATATCTTAAACATTAAATTTATATTCGACTATACGAGTTCGTTTATTAATTGAGATGTCGGGCTCATATCTAATGATTAATTTGTGTCTATCTATTTTATGGCATTGAAAGTAACTCGTATTTATTGATTAAGGCCATTATGTGGCTTACCTTAGTCTCGCCACAAGAAGAAACTTTAGTAGCAATTTTATATAACTTGACGTATTTCTATTTCTATATATAGTCAATATTGACTTACATTAGCTAATGTTGACAAATCATCTGTATATATATAATAAAACTGTAGAGCTCGAATGTCTGTACATAGAAAAAAATTCTAAACACCGAGTCAGGGGGATGTAAGAAGAGAAATAGAACAAATCCAGATTTTTTTTCAATTTTTTTTTTCTCTGGCTGTTTGTCGGTTTGTACGGCTTAATCTCCGAAACTGTTGGACCGATTTAAATGAAATTTTGCGTGGTGGTACCTTATATCCCTGGTCAACATTTTAGATACTTTTCTTCCCGGAAAATTAAAGAGTTCCGGTGGGATAGTTAAAAAACTATAGTAACTTTGTATAAGTACGCTTATAAGCTTAGTACACAACAACTTATGTATCTAGTAGTAAAATTTGGCATGTTGATACCATATATTGCCGGTCAAACAATAGGTTACTTTTTATCCCGGAAAAATGAACGGTCCCCGTGGAAAAGATCTGTTTGTGCTTTTCTAGAGGTGAACCCGAGCGAAGGTGAACCACTAGTTAATTATAATTCCTTAAAAATTTAAATATACCTATTATAATTGGTTACCAGTTTTTCTACTACACGTCAAATAGCCTGAAGTCATTCTAACTTTTAATAAACACGTGATTTTATTTTATGCAGGCTTTCCTGGACTGGATGTACAACTTTAAATACGTAGTTCATTGATAGTGTAATTAACAGAATGTGCTATTTATAATAATTCTGTTTTATAAAGTCAATGAGAGACAATTAATTAACTCAATTGAAGCGCGACCTTGGTGGAGTATGTCGGACGCCACAACTGATTGTTTTTCTAGCTATTTCAAGTGAGCACATGTCATCGAACGCTGTAAACATGATCGCTATCCTATCAAAGATAAAGTACCTACGTCCGATTTCGATATTAATATGCAATTGTCATATTCAATCTTACATTTTAAAGTGCTTCCATTATATCGGCGCGGTTATATTTGTTCACGTTCTTGACATAGTAGTTGCCCGTCTTTACTATCAAGTGATAATGAAATCGACCTCAGTAACGTGAGATAGCAATTCATACAAACCGGTGGCTACTTTCCCCGCCGCGTCGCGCGTGGTCGATGACGACTATGTAGTTACGAAAGCTACTCTTGCTTGCTTTGTATGGAATAGCGCCGACACTTGACTACTAGAAACGAGATAATCCCTTTAGTCACATGGATTTGTAGAAAGATTTTTTTATCTATCCAAGTAGCAATAGTTATTTAAAAAAAAATTATGTCACACTGTTTTAAATATATTATATATAAATTATAAATACTCACCGAAACTCGCCGAAATAATATTTCATAAATTAATTATCCCACCTACTTGCCAAATTGAAAAAAGCTTCAAATTTTTCAATATCTCTTCATTGTTAAGTGATACACATAATGAAGGCTGATTAAGAATAAGAAGTACTATTTTTCTTTAATATTTTCGCACTGAATAAAGCCCTCTGTCTGAATTAAAAAAAAATGCGAATTTAGTAAGTGAGTAGTAGGTAGCTTGTAATTGATTTATAACTGACCTACTGATTTTTAGCAATGCAACACAAGTGCTTATTTATGTTTGAATTAATTATATTTTATTATAATTATATTTTAGATTTCGTATATTGAACTCGACAATAGAACAATATTTTATATTCTTTCGTTATGATTTTCAAAGTGATCAAATACTTGTTATCAAAGGAGTTTATCAAATAGACTCTTATTAGTATCAAATAAAATTGACCGAGTGAAGTGTTAGTGGTTAAAAAATGAGTGCAAGCGAGCCAACACTAACTGAATCACCAGTGCCGCTAGCTTTGGCGCGTCTGCAGGGCCGACCAGGGCGCGTGCCTGGGGGTATGCGCACACACCGACCTAGCCTACCGCTCGCAAGTCTACAAGAGGCTATTGATGAAACTCCACGGCGTTACAGTGAAGAAACTTTTGGTATGGAGTCGGATGAAGAAGAGTCTTTTACTGATTCGGCTATAGTTCATATACCGTCTTCTTCAACTTCCAATGGTCGAAGAGCTTCTGATGCTACGTTTGCTGAACGATATAGGAAATTTACCGACTTTGATGGCCCGCCCGTTGATGTACCCCGACGAGCCTCTCTGGCCGTTTCCGTTGGAACCGACGGTTTCGGACCTAGCGATAAAGGCCGCAGGCGCTCTTGGGCGGCGCGATTACAGCTAGAACGCAAAAAGAGGCGAAAATCTGGAGGAAATGACACAGATGAAGAGAGTGATACTCCAACTTATATACGTCAGAAAAGGCCTTCTTGGTGGAATGTCTTCGTTCCTGATAATATGCTAAAGCACAGGTATTTTTAAAAGATAGAAAACCTTTCAGATTTTAATTATTAATGAAAAACATGTAAATTGATAGATAATAATTAATGATTTCATAAAGATTTGACTTTGCCTCTATGAATTTGTTCATAATAGGCATGTGTGTATGGCATTAAAATGAAAATGTATAATAGCACCATTGACACTAGATTTCCTTGACCTAGCGCTTAGTACTCGTTATTATTATTCTTAATCTCCCTGTTACCTTCAGGATTAGATTCTAATGAATCATTTATTACATTTTATTATTTATTGGAGATACAAGAATTAATCAGGTATATTGTCTCTCAATCGATAATGGGTATCCAACAAACAACATTTTATGTAATAGAAGATAAGGGACAGCAGTTTTAATTTATCATTGATATAGTTTACTAACGGACGTTATTTCAAGAACAAGTATTATAAAAGTAGGTTGTTAGTAGTAAAAAATTCCATGATCAAAGACCCTGCGGTTGTTATGCAAAGGAAACTATATTTGTGTACTCTCTTGACAAATTTATGATTTTAATTATCTTTTGAGACATTATCTTTCTACGTAAGTTGGTTACTGACGTTATCTCACTGTGTCTTTTTGGACTTAAAACCAGTTATGATTACATTCGTATAGGTCACATAACACATTATACACAGTTTATTGTTATTTCTTCTATTGTGGTATCAAATTTTATATTATATCCTAGAACTAGCGACTCACCCTCGCTTCGCTCGGGTTCGTCCCTACTTACGTTTTAACTTTTAGTATCGATTTCTCAAAAATGAGATATTTTTTCGCAGTAAAAATTATCCTATATACCAGTATAACCTATCATCAAAGCTATCATCATACCAAATTTTATCAAAATCCCCCCAGTGGTTTTTCCGTGATGCGGTAACAGACAGAAAGACAAAAATTCTAAAAACTATAGATTCGGCCTGTGTATCGATAATAATGTCTATTTCAATAAGATTTCCCAAAAAATATTTAATGTACAGGTTCGGCTTAGTTACAATTTTATTATATGTATGGATTAGCCCCATGCGACTTTTAATTCCTTGTTTAAAAAAAGTATAACTTAATATGCATATAAAAAAAATATAAAAACTTATATGGTCATTTTACATATTCTTTTGAATTTATGATTCAGGTAAATAGAAGACTGGACTATTAATTAAACACTAGGTACTTATATATTTACTACTGTGTCTACGTGACCTGTCACTCGTATCTACTTCTCTTATAACTCCTAATTTTTAAAAAGCTTTCTTATTTTTGGTATTTTCTTAATAAAACGTCCGTGTTATAAATAGTTATTTATTACAATTGCTTGTACATATATCATCACATCACCATTATGTCATTACTTTACTTTCCAAACTTGGAGAGAGGCTGAACAATGTTTAGATATTACTAAAAACTTTAACGGTACTAGTGTTATGTGCATTTAATTTATATTCTACAAAACTATTGGATAAAATATAAAATAATTAATTTTCTTCATGTAGTGTGGAAAACCCTAATTATTATTTTTTATCGATGATATCACTTATTTCATCTATCAGCTGTTGTTAATCCTACTAATATTATAAATGCGAAAGCTTGTGAGAATGTATAGATGAATGGATGTATGGATGTTTGTTACTCTTTCACGCAATAAGTATTGGATGGATTTTAATGAAAGTTTAGAATAATATAGCTCATACTTCAGAATAACACATACGCTACTTTTTATCCCTGAAAAATGTAAGGTTCTCGTGGATAGATTTGTTTTTATTTTGGTTATGTATATACTAGCTATATACATAACTAACTTTCGTTGTACATATATCTATAATATAAAAATGAATCGCTGAATGTGTTGGTAAGCGCAAATCTCGAGAGCAGCTGAACCGATTTCGCTAATTCTTATTTTAGAATATTCCTTGAAGTACGAGGATGGTTCTTACGGAGAGAGAAATTAAAAAAAAATGCCTGAAACTGTCTAAAAACAACATTTTTCTATACTCCCATACAAAAGATTCGTAATAATACTTAAAAGTCAATTTGAACTTTAATACCATACCATAAAGTTTAAGTGTTAGTGGAGAGGTTCCGGAAGGCAAACAATTGAGTGACGTTAGTATCGTACAAATATTAATGTCAATATTTGTCAATATTATTAACAAAAAAAAATATTATATGACTAACGCTGGCTAATAACTATTTATTATCTATCTATCTATAAAATATGGTTTAATATTAATATCGCTTAATTTAATATGTATTTAGTGCAAAAATCTTAAGAATTTAAACTTTGAATTGCATGATATATATAACAAATAGTTGTTGACTATTGCATATTTAAATTCAATTGATATTTGACTTTTGATTAATTATATTATATTGCAAAATATAGATTAGATTTTACAAGGAAGTAAAAGAGTTTATGATGTCATTTCTAGTGCTGATTTCGTATTACAGATAATAGTAGGGGAGCCCACGATGCTAAATGGGGATTTACTCGAGCGTCGTAGAGACCTATTGGGATGCAAAGCTTAGATGATAAGAAAAAAATGTTATATGATATATACCTTTACATCGGTGGGGGAAGCGGCTATAGATTTTTAAATATGTAAAAAAAAACTGTTGCATAGACATCCTCGAGCGCGTCAGATATTGATAGCATCAATGCCCTACGTATTTTTAATAATGTACGTATGTTAATCTGATCGTTTGCATGATGCGGGTGGTTGTATTTAAGGGTTGAAAATGAAAAAAAAAAATTTAATCGAGCGCGTCAGATTTTCTAAGGGAGTGTTAAGTGCACCAAAAAAAAGCTCTCATTCACTAATCTGACGATTTCGATGGGACGCAAACTCGCGGCCATTTTCATAATGTGCAAAAAAAAATCGCCATTTTGAAATACTCAAGCGCGTCAGATTAAGATATATATGGTTCATCTTTATGTTCTAAACGTACTGTCTCATAATCTGACGATTATCTAGAGGGATTCGTCTGATCTGACAAAAAAAAAATTAGAAAAACGGTTCACCTTAAAGTCCATACCTGCTACTTCCCGCTAATTCCATTCCTGGGCGCTTAAAATTGTACTTATGACATTTTTGAGCTCAAAATATAATTTATGTGATATTTTGAGCTCGCTGAGTTCAAACAAATAATATTTCTATGCATTTGAGCTCTCCCAGCTCGTTCACGTCTCCCAGTTCGATGTTTTACTTTCTATCCTTGCCTCCCTTAACTTCTCGTCTTCTGTGATTGATTGGTTTAAATCATATCTTTATGATCGCCAGCAGAGAATCTACTGCGACGAGACTATCTCAGAGTGGTCCAATCTCTTCGCAGGCGTCCCCCAGGGTGGTGTGTTATCGCCATTGCTTTTTTCAATTTTTATTAACCAACTCCCACAGGTACTCTCTTCTAACTACCACCTATATGCGGATGATCTGCAACTTTATAGACATGCTTTGGTCGGGGACTTAGCGTCTGAAATAGACAGGATAAACCTCGATTTGGCAAGAATCAAAGATTGGGCAAAGTCCTTCGGACTCCTTGTCAATCCAATAAAGTCTCAGGCCATGATCATTGGTAGTAAGCAGTTGCGGAACAAAATCGACTTCAACAATCTGCCTGACATCATCTACGATAACACTTGCATCAATATCTCAGACACGTGTAAAAACTTAGGTTTAACAATCGACTGCAACCTGTCCTGGGCTGCGCATGTCAACGAGGTCAGTAAGCGCGTACATTATTCACTTCATTCCTTGAGACGTTTACAGAATTTTCTTCCGTTTCAAACTAAAATTACCCTAGCTCAATCACTGCTAATCCCTCTACTCGAATATGCCGACGTCTGCTATCTTGATGCAACCGAGGAGCTACTCGACAAGCTAGATCGCCTTCAGAATTTGTGCATCCGTTTTATATTTGGATTGCACAAATTTGATCATATAAGTATTTTCCGACGGCAACTGAAGTGGCTCCCCATTCGTTTTCGCCGAAACGTTCGTGTATTATGTGTGCTTTACAATATTTTGAAGACTTCTACACCTTCTTATTTAAGTGAACGCTTCACATTAGTGTCCCCTAGATGCAGACCAGTGCGTTCTTGTGTCAATTTGCCCAAACTAGTGGTTCCTCACTACAATACTACATTCTATTAAAATCTTTTTCTGTTACGGCAGCAAGTTTGTGGAATTCACTGCCTGATTATATTTTCAAAGATGATCCCTCATTCTCAACATTTAAGTTTAGAATTAAACAATACTATTTATCAAATCAGACATAAATTATTGTAGATTAGTATGTATTTATATGTAAGTATATATGTTTATTTGTATGTATGTATGTATGTATATATGTATGTATTTATATATGTATGTGAATATATATATATATATATATATATTTGTATAATCATAATATTTAGTTAATATATGTATTTTAATAATAAGACAATTCCATTCAATGCTGTACTGTACCTACACCGCACTATATTAACTTATTTTCTCACTTCTGAAGGGTTTCTGGAAGAAATCTCTTAAAGAGATAAGTTATCCTTTGTCAACATTTTGTTATTTTATTTTGTATAACGTATATTTTATGGTACATAAATAAATAAATAAATAAATAAATAAATAAAGTCTGATAGAAGTTTCATAGAACACTATTTTTGGAAATTTCAAACCGCAATAACTTTTGAATAGATCAAGCAATATTCACGCGGTTGGCGCCATTCGACGCAGTTTTATCATCCTCATAAGTTATTTTCAGGTTTTTATTGATCGAACCAAAAATTTCGGAGTAATCCCGAAAAAACACTTTTTTCGGTTTTCTTTCGTTCACGATATCTCTCGAACGAATCAACCGATTTTGACCGGATTAGCGACGAACAGCGTGGTTTTTCTAGGTTAAGAGCGGATTAGTTTTTGAAGTTAATTGATAAAGCCGGTTAAAAGTTATTCCAAAAAAACCACTTTCAAAATGATCTCT